TTTATTTTAAACTTTTTCTAAATATATATCATTAACCAATTTTTTTTTAAGAAAAATACATAGAAAATTGAACTATCGATGTCACTTCACGCTTTGCAATTGCATCGCGCGTGTGTGTTTTTTTTCTTTTTAATTATGGCATGTTGTTTCTTGAGGAGGAGACGACATATACCACAAATATATATAAATAATTATCACTTTGGTATAATATATAGTTGTGCATTTACTTTTTAATTCTTGGGTTTAAATCTTCCTTTATCACTTTTTCTTTTCTTTTTCTATTCAATGGAAATTCATATTGGAATTGTTTTCTCTTTTAACAAATTTAATAAATGCTATCTATTAAAATTTATCTTCTCTTACAAAATATATATTTTTCAATAGTAAATTCTTTTTATGTAATTAGTAGTTGTTTTATTCTAGAAAAAAAATTTTAATAAGTAACATTTGTTTAAAAGAGAAATATATAATTGCAATATAATTTTTTTAAGTAAGAATATTAGTGTTGATCTATGTTGAATTAGGCAAAAATTAATTTTATTTTTTCTTATAAATGTAATGCGAAAAGTTAGAGAATGTAAAAAATTGTGTATTTATTTACATAAATTAATTGTAAAATTAAATATTCATATATAACTATATTTAATGGTAGAATATGATAGTTTTGAGATGTCAAAGGGTTTATAATTTTTTAATTCCCTCCACTGTATTTTGTGTCTTCCATTCATTTTTCACACCAATTTAAAAGCTTTATTCTAAGAAAATTAATAATATAATTAAGAAACTTTAAATTTATATATATTAATAGTAAACAAGAAAATAATTGTGAAGATTTTAATGATAGAAAAATGATAAAACATTGATAAGCTATAAATATAAATTAATTTAAAATCAAGATTGAGGGGGAGAATTATAAAAAATAATTGGCCTAAATTAGATCAAATGTTTTTTTCATGATTTTGTATAATTTTTGTTTTCATTTTAAACTTATTTTATTAATAATATTATTTACTTACAATGCTCTCTAATTATAAATAATAAAAATATATTTAACGTAACTGTAATATTTCTATCCATATGAAGCACATATTAGTCTTTTATTACACTAGTTTGTTTGAAAGGAAAACGCTGTTAAAGAAGAGGTGTATAACCACTCTACCATAGGGGTAATTATGAATATTTTTGCCAATATGTCATCTTCCCATTTCATAATTAAAAAAAACATATGATGTTATGCAACGAGAAAAGTGTGAAATGACATGGGTCGTTTTTTACAAATTTTCAAACGTTATTTTGAAAAATAGTTTGGTGAATGTTAATATTTGGAATAAATTTAAAATAAAAGATTATTTAAAAAGAAAAACCTGCAGTAAAAAGTACTTGAACCGTAGGGAGGAATTTTATTATTAAATGTTGAACAACAAAATATACACATTTTATAGAAATTATTATCACGTCTTACTCCCTTCTTTTATCTCTCTCGACTTTTTAATTTTTCATAAGAATCACAAATATCAATCTTGTTTATTTGTCAAAACGAACAAAGTTCAACAATAATTGACATATACTTTCAACTAAGAGGTTATAAATTCGAATCTTCCTCCACGTGTTATTGAG